GACTCTGGCAACAGGAGCAGAGCAGGGCACAGCAGAGGATTAGTCCAACTCAATCAGCTCTTAGACAGCCAACAAATCAGCTTAAGACAACAAACCCGCCGACAAGAGCCCGCAACGCAACACCCACAATGCGCATTTAGAAAGGGGCGAAAGAGAGAGAGAGAAAGCGAGAGCGGGAGAGAGAGGGTGAAAAACAAGTCAACTGCAAATATTTGCAAGAGTTTTTCACACAATTTTTTCGAGTCGAGTTGCCCCCAAAAGTCATTGAAAGTCATTTGCCAACAATTCTGACGAGCCGCAGCGCGCAGCAGGGGGCGGGGGGGTCAGCAGCGGGTAAGGGAGGGGGGGGGAGGGTCAGTGACTCGCTTTTGTAGTGGCTCCCGACAGTTTGCCAACGACATTTGTTACACTTTGTTTGCCTCTGGGCAACACATCCGCACATCCGTGCTCCTGCTGCTGCTGCAAAAAAAAAACTAGTGACAATGAAGGGAGGGGGGGGGCGGGTGTTGCGACTCCCCTCCAAATCGCATCAAATATCAACCGAGCATACGTTAAATGCCTCAAATTGAGTTAAAGTGCCGCCGCCGTTTGGCATTGAGACCGAATGGCCGCAGCAGCAGCCGGGGCGATGCGGGGCAGATGCCGGGGTGGTATATCACAAAAGCCTGCGGTTGTGCGGGCAGCAAAAACTACAGCACACACACACACACACACGCACACTCATGCATATGAGTAAGCATGCATGCGCATAGAACTATGACCAGCAATAGCCAAGGATATTTAGTCGCTGCGAGGGCAAGACAAAGAGTTGTACAGTACGCGCTCGCTAAGTGAAACGCATGCAAAACAAAAATGTATCTCTGAAATGATTGAAATGGTTAGAAGCGTTCCGTATAAATGCATGTAGGCAGGCATCTCTGATACTACAACAAATATATATATTTAGTCTTGTTTGTCCGTTTGTCCGTCTCTGCGCCCATCTGTCCGTCCATTTATTCGACCGTCAGTTCAGCCCGTCCGTCCGCTCTCGACAACTAGCTGCTCTTATTTCCCACACAGAGCATCGATAGCTTTGCTCCATTTGCATGAAATCGATAGATATCGATTTGAAAAACGTGTTTTTTTTTTTTTTTGCATATTTCAGCGTTTTTAAGAAAGTTTGGAAAAGCAGCTCCCAATATTTTTTAAAACTTTTCTTTTCAATGTTTTTTGATAGCTATTTTCTATTTAGAAATTATTTGAATACCCTTTTTAAGCAAAATAAAAACAACCAAAAATACCAATTTAAAAACTTTTTTCTGTTCAAATAAAGCAAATTCTTTTCGATAAGGATTCCGAAATTCGGCTAGTTCTTTAAAAGCCTAGCCTAATTATTTTGAGAAGCTTTTGTCGTTAAATTGTTACCTAAATCTAAACGTGTTTTTCTCTTCCCTTGCGTTGCTCGTACAGGGTATGTGGCAGTCGTGAATCTATGCAATTGCTTGCGAATAGTTTGGCAAACTTTTAGGCCAGCCCGTTTGTTGGTTTGCGCGTGTTTAGACTCCAGGACATGCGGCGCCCTGTCGTCAGCTACGATTCTGCTCTCTGCCAGTCTCCCCCCTCTCTCTCTCCTCTCTCTCTCTCCCACTTTTTCCCTCGCACAGTTGCTGTCCTGCTGGCTATCCTTCGGACTCGGGTTTTTTGCTGCCGCACGCTTCTGTATTTTTTATTTGTCGCATTGACTTTGGCATGTCCTGGCCAACTGCCCGGCTGGCTTAATGTCCTGGCTGGTGTCTGTGGCGCTGGGCTGGCTGTCATCATTGGCTCGTTCATCGACACTTTGCTTTTTAATCAATTTAACAATTTTTTGTCGCTCTTCGGACGGTTGTGAAGGCGCCTGCAGCGTCAAAACTGAGCTCGTTATCAACAACAACAAGAACAAGAACTAAAACAACAACAAGGAGTCGCTGCAAGGATATGCAAAAGTAATTGACAGCTGGCTTCGGCCAGGACTTCTTCTGCTTCTGCTACCTCGAGTTGCTTTAGCATTTCAATTCCTTGCTTTATTGGCTTTTAGCAATATTGACATTTGTCCGAGTGTGTGTGCGTGCGTGTTTGTGTGTGTGTGTGTGTACATTTGCTAATTAGTTTGCCAAAGCGATAACAACAACAGCAACACTTGCATGTGCCAAGGATTTATCCAAAGTCACATAGAGCTAAGCATCGCTCAGTTTCAATTTCATTTTCGGGATATTTTCTTGGTCGGTTTTTTGTTTTTTTTTTTTGCGAATCTTTGTTTTTCTTTTCTTTTTCGTTTTGTTTCTTTTTCTGTCGTGTAATTTCGTCTGCCTTGGGCAATATTTGTTGACTGGAAAGTCTGTCTAAAAAGGAAATGAATTCATCCGATAGTTAACTCCTTGTTCTTGTTGTTGTTGTCTGCGCGGCTAATGAAGTTGACTTGCCAGCCAAAACGAGAGAGAAAAAAATGAGTAAAAGTATTGGCAAAAATATTGAAAAGGCGTTTGGGCCTTGTCAACCGAAGTCAGCTCGAGTTGCCATTTCATCTGTGGATGCAGGGAAAGGTCTTGCACGGGCTTGTTGTACGCTGGATAACAATTATGTACGTAGCTGGCGCAGACTATTTGATAAGTGTATACAAATCCCATTAATGCCTAATGAAGTAACTGAGAGTGCAGGGCCCCAGCCTAAAGCCAACAACAAGGCACTCAGAGATCAAATACAGGTGTGGGGTTGATAGCTTGATAGCAAGAGAAATGATTTCTATACAATTTTCGTTAGATTTTCCAACAGCTAGACGATATTATGTCCAAAAAAATTAATCAAAGCTATGCAAAGTTTCAAGGCGAAGGCTTTAAAAGTGAAGGAGAGAGGGAGAGGGAGGGGGAGCGAGAGAGCGAGGAGCGATAGAGCGATAGATAAATAGAAAGTATAAGAGAGCGAGAAAGATAGAGAGAGACTATGAGAGGGGGAGGGAGAGTTTGAGGGTAGAGAGAGAGAGAGATAGAGAGAGAGAGATAGAAAGAGAGAGATAGAAAGTTAGAGAGAGAGATAGAGAGAGAGAGAGAGAGTGAGAGATAGGGAGAGAGATAGAGAGAGATAGAGAGAGAGATAGAGAGAGAGAGATAGAGAGAGAGAGAGAGAGAGATAGGTGAGTGAGAGATAGGGAGAGAGATAGGTGAGTGAGATATAGGGAGAGAGATAGGGAGAGAGAGATAGAAAGAGAGAGATAGAAAGTTGGAGAGAGAGATAGGGAGCGAGAGACAGAAAGAGAGTATGTGACTAGTTGAATAGACACGAAGCCTTGACTCTGAGTCTGATTCTGATCTATATATAATGGAATATATAATAGACTATTAAAGATCAAGGCAAGAACTCTGTTGTCGCAATTGTTGTCGCTGTCAGGCCTAAACGTGGCCTAATGAGCAACTTTGGCTGTCTGCTGTTAGCCAATTGACAGACAGAGCGAGACTGAGAGACTGAGGGAAAGAGAGACAGAGACGGAGAGAGGGAGCGCGAGAATTACTTGGCTAAGTGTTCCTGGGTGACCACTTGCTGTGCCAATCACTGGCCATATCAGTGTCAATTGTTGTCGTTGTCGTTGCTGTTGTTGTTGCTGTTGTTGTTGTTGCTGTTGCCAGCGGACTGCAAGTGCATAATAAACGCATTATAATTGAACAATTTACCAGTTTTTCTATACGACAAGAAATTACATACATTCAAAATAACTTTATCAGCTCAAACATCAAAAGGTAGCAGCAACCACTTGGCTACAGGTTGTTGTTGCAATTGTTGTTGTTGTTGTTGTTGTTGTTGTTGTTGCGGCAGCAGCAACGCAGTTAAATATTTTCCGCTTAATTTAACAGGAATTTCAATTGACAGACGTGCGCAAAATGTTGCAGCGACTGCGGTTGCTGCTGTTGCTGTTGCAGTTGTTATTGTTGCTGCAGTGGTTGTTGCAATTGTTGTTGTTGCTGCTGCCTGGCAACGCATGATTTATGCACTCACTTACACACACACACAATCACACACACACAGACGAAGCGCAGCCACGTGGCAGACGGGGGCTGGGGCGCAGTCAATTTCTATTAGGCGCTGACCTTGTCAACATTGTTGCCAGCAACAAATGCGGCCACGCCAGCAACATGCAGCGACGCCGGCAGCGCTGTCGCGTTAAGCGCCGCTGCGGCGCGCGCTAAGTTGACAATTTACTGACAAATGTGTAAATTGCATTTGATCGTGTTGTTGTCTGTTGCTGCTGTTGTTGCTGTTGTTGCTGTTGTTGTTGTTGTGGCTGCTTCGTTAATTTATGCGGCTGGCATTTCGAGAGGCCTACAACGCCAACAGCGGCGGCAACTGCGACGCCAACGCCAACGGCAACGGCAACGGCAACGTCAACGTCAGCAGCAACAGCGACCTTGATCGCAACATTGCGACAGCTTCCGCATTTTACAGTTTCCAGTTGCAGTTGCAGTTGCAGTTGCCGTTGCTGTTGCTCGTTAACAGTGCTGCCAACTGGCTGGAAAACGTAACGCATGGGCAGCACTCGTTGTAATTAATTCAACTAATCGAGACAATTGTGAATATATACATATATATGCATAGAATTGATTGCCACACAGCTGACTTAATTTAATAATATGTAGATATTATATGATATGAGATAATAATAGAAATAATAGTACAAAAAAGTCGAAATAAAAAAGCCCCAGCAATATGGGGCAGAGGAGCAAGTTCTTTTTCACCGGAAATATACAAGTTAACTATGAACTAGTTCTTCTCTCATCATATTCTCTAGATTTGTGCCTACCTTACAGATATGCCTTGGTGAAAAAAAAAACTTTCCAACACTGAAATGATCTTTTGACCGAAAATTCGATTGTAGCTATGTGCTTGGCACCCAAAAGGATTTGTTATCGATGCAATATTTAATTTTAAATATTTTTTCAATACTTAAAGTTAATTAACTTAAACAGCAAATATTAGCATAAAAGTGCACTCACCTTATGGGCTCTGATGGATGGGCCCCCTGAACAAGCTAATGTAACGTCCACCAGGCTCCCGTCCTGTAATAATTGACTAAACACCCCTAACAGGTTGGATTGATGATTGTTCCACCTCAAGCAGTATTGCTCACTGCCCATGTCGGTGACAGCTTACGCTGCTGCAAATAGACAAAACAAATGAAACAATATTAATATATATATTATTAATAATCAGGAATATATATAAAATATATATAATACATATAAGACAAATAGGCAGGATATGAATAAAGTCCATCAAGAGTTTCCTTAGATATGTGTTACTTATATCTAGGTAAATTGATATTAGAGAAAAATAATCTAGTATGCGTAAATAAAATATTTGAAAATATAATCAACAGAGGCAATGAAAGAACTAAGTTCGAATCGCCCTTTTCTCTTAGTGTATATTTCTTTTTACAACTGGAATATACTTTATGTCATTTTGATTTTTTAGATATGTGACAAAAATGTTTAGAGATGAAATATTTCAAGTACGACCCCTTTTGTACTATTGTTTTCATTAAGAGCTTAACATTCCTGAGTTTTCTATTTACACGTTATCGTTATCGACATAGAAACTCATTAGGCACAAAAACGGAATTGGATGATAGATCATAAGATTATTCATTATTCATTAAGAGCTTGACATTGTTAATTTTTTGATTTAATCGTTATTGTTATCGATAAGTATTGACAGCAAAATTCAACAGCCACAAAAATGACATGTGTTGATATATGAAATATTTTGAGTAGTACAATTTTCGTTTTTAGTTTATTTGTTATCATTAAGAGTTTAACCTTTTACAATTTAAAAATTTATACGATATCATCATCGACAAATATCGACATAATCGATTGACTCGTTATCGTTATCGATAGGTATCAACATGAAAAAGCATAGCGCAAAACTTAAGCGAGGCACGAGAACAATTTCTTAATTTAACGTTCCAGCGTTTGCTAATTGAAGACATTGCGTAATATTTGCACACACTCTTTCACACACACACACACAGGCACACATGCACACATGTATACTCATATCTTATAGCTGCACAGTTCGTATCTCTATTGGTAATTAATGGCAAAGCGTGTGGCTGCATTCGCGGCAGCCGCAGCCGCCTGCAAATTAAAAACGGTCAGGGTTCAAAAATGTCACTGACAGCCTCATGACAGGCAGGTGGACTGCAACTGGCAGCGATAGGGACGGGGCGGGGCGGGGCGGGGCTGCGGTTGGTGTACTGAGGGCGTGGTATTGCCACAGACCGGCTTGACTTGCAATTTTGTTCAGCGCCGCACAGCAAAATATAAAATATTAAAAAAAGAAAAACAAACTCAAACGAAATATGCATAGCTCGATTGTTTTTTTCTCTTTTGTGTATATTTAAGCATAGATATTTGCTTTTATGGCCACATTATATTAATATTCAATAAACGCCCAAAAAGACGTTATACAAATTAAATTAACGTAAATGGAAATCGTTAATTAATCATCAAATAATTATATATAAATAGATTGTTATATATTCTATTATATATTCTATAAATCTTCTAGCTGTTAAATATATATTATTATTTTCTCAAGAAGAATAAAAGTTTTTAAATGAAATAAAAGAAGATTTTTTTTTTAATTCTTTTTTTCTCTTTTAAAAAATCTTTAATTTTTTGTTCTATTCTAATTTTATTTATATATTTAATTGTTACATTAAAAATATGTTAAAAATATATAAATAAATGTTTGATAATTTGTAATATTATTTGTTTTTCTTCAATCAGAATTCAATAATTATATCAAACTAAGCAAAGATCTTTTTGTAATTAAAAAAGTGAAAAGAAGTTTTCTAAGACTCTTAAGAGCAAGAAAAATATTTCATTCCGACTCAATTCGAACTCTTACAAAAATGTTGCTGATAGTATTTCCAATATAAACTAAGACTTGCATTTAACTAAAACTTCCGGTAGATATACAAAATTTAAAGTACTTAAAAAATTGGCAAATAATTCGAAACGAAGGCAACAAAATATTAAATATTATTGTAAACAATATATGAAGTTTATAATAATAAAATATTGTAATTAATATACTAAGTGAAAGTACATGCATACAAATATGCTGCTGAGACTTTTCCAGAGCTCTTACTGATTTTATTTGAGATCTATTTCAGGCATTGCAAAATTGAAGGCTTCGTTAAGTCAAACCAATAAATTCGATTCAAATTCATTCGTTGGCCGAGAGCTAAACGCATGATATTCAAGCAATCAGCGAAGAAAATAAAAAATTAGAAAGAGATCAGCAACAACAACCCCAACAACGCCAACAACATCAGCGACAACAGCGAAAGAAACAGCAACAAGTACAACAAAAACAGTAATAACAACAAGAACAATCAACATTTCCGGCAGTTGCGAGTGTTTGATAGCTGTCTGTCGCAGTTGTTTCTGCTGTTGTTGTTGCTGTTGTTGCTGTTGCATTCAGGCAGCAACAACATTCATTGGCGCAGCAGCAGCAGCAGCAGCAACAGCAGCGCAAATAATAACGAAGCAATAAACTGTGAATTTATTTCAACAAATAAAACTTTGATTTATTGCGCTACGCACACAGCATGCAACGACGTGCATGAGTGTGTGCGTGCGCGTGTGTGTGTGTGTGTGTGTGTGTGTGCGTGTATCTGGTTAAGTAAAAACATTAACGGCGCACACACACGATAGAAATGCTGGCAAACAGCAGAAATGGATTGGCCCCAGAGATATTGCCACAGATAACGACAGAAGCAACGATCGAGAATATCGCAAAAAGATCGAGAAAAGATCGCGAGAGAGGGGGAGAGAGAGAGTGGTAGAGAGGCTCGGTTACGAACGTATCGTAAATGTTAAATAGGCGAAAAGTCGTGCGAACTTTTACCAGGCCAGACCCAGAGCCAACCAGTTAAATATCAATTTGTGGCCAAACAACAATGCGAAATGTTGCTGCCGAGAAGTTATGGCCGGGGCTAGCAGCAGCACCAGCAGCAGCACCAGCAGCAGCACCAGCAGCAACAGCAGCAGCAACACGCAATGGCCAAAGGTCGCGGCAAGACGCAAATTAAATTTGCATGCAGCAGCGACAGCCAGCAACAGCTGAGCAACAACAACAGGTCGTCACTTAATTAAGAAAAGTTGCTAGCGTCCATGTTGCTGCTGGCATAGAGGGCAATGTTGCTGGCGTGCCAGGTTGCTGCTGCTGTTGCTGCTGTTGCTGCTGCCCACGCATGATTTTTGAATTAGCGCGCTGTGTAACAGCAACTAATATAATTGACAGTTGCTGCTGCTGCTGCTGCTATTGCCTACGTGTTCTGTTGCAGACATCAAACGCTGCACTGCATGCTAAGTAGCTGCTGCAGCTGCTGCCGCTGTGTGGCAGAGAGAGAAAGCGGCATTTTACATTTGCCTGCACTGTGTGCTGCATGCAATTTGGGTCTGTTAATTGTTGTTGCTGCCGCTGCCGAGATTTATGCCGCTTGCATGCTAATTATGAATGCCAGCAACATGTTGCTGTCGTTGCTCCTGCTGTTGCTGCTGCTACTGCTGCTCAGCTGACAACTAAATCAGTCAAAGACGGCGACCGTTAATTGCGCAGAAGAACTGAAAAAAAAAGCAGAAGAAACAGCAACCTATTGAGTTTTCATGCAACTTAATGAGCAACAGGAGCAACAGGCAGGCAGGCAGCGTAAGACAGGCAGCAGCAACAATTGCTGCTGTGCCTCCCATTGCGCACAGTTTGGGCCAGGGCCTGGCAACTGCCGCTGCCGCTGCTGCTGCTGCTGGTGCTGCTGCTGCATCTTCTTCATTTGACGGCACGATTCAAAAAGTTTTCAATTAAGTCGCCGCTGCCGCTGCCGTTGCAGTTGCCGCAGTTCCAGAATTGTTGCTGCTGTTGTTGTTGTTGTTGTTGCTGCTGCTGCTGCTGCCTTGCGGTTGCTGCCGTGGCCGCTGCCTTAAAACCTCATTAATATTGAAATTTGTTCGTGTGCATGAGTTATTAGCAATTTTCTAATTAAGCGCCGCTGACGAGCAGCAGCTTAGAAGCTTCTCCACTCCACTCCCCTAGCCATGCCCCCTCTATCCAACGCCACACACACACACACTGGCACACACACACACACACACAACTTCCAATCGCGAGGCCGCCTCCGTGCGGAGTAGCTGACTCATGCTTGGGCGATCACATGTGAATTCGAATTTGAATGGCGCCGCTGGACCGCTGCACCACTCGCTGCACTTGTCACACCCACAGCACGCGGCACCCAGCGGCACCCAGCGGCTCTCGCAGTGGCTTCTCCACAAAGGCGCCGCCATCGAAGCTTTTGCGGCGCTGATTTATTTATTTATAAGCGTAATTGCCAGCCGACTTATTAGTGGGCCACATAAATCTTCAGCGTCAAGCGCCGCCCGTTGGGCGTGGCATTGTGTTAAAACGCACATAGCCGAGTTCAGCTCAGAGGCGGCTGCCAGCAAAATTCTATACGAACGTTTAAAGCATTTTCCATGTAGCATTTCTCTAAAGTTGAGCACATGAGTAGTTAATTTCTTTGCAAAAAATTCTCGAGCTATAGTCTAAAGATAAAAAAAAAGCTAGATAGAATCAGCCAAATAACGAATTCAAGCTTTCAGAGAGCTTTAAGTGAGCTTGGTGTGAGCTTTAAGTATCCTTTAAGGACTTTAAGGCAGATTTGCGTTATCTTTAAAAGCGCATGAAAGAAGCTTCTTTAATATCAGCCTTAAAGATTTAAAGATGCTTTGTGTAAACTTTAGGTTGTATGTAAAATAGCTTTAAGTGAATATTAAAGCAGCTTCGAGTGAGCTTCTGGACGAGTGATTTGGGTGAGCTTTAAGTGAGCTTTGGATGATCGTTAAGTGAGCTTTAGAGTATCTTCAATTAAGCTTTAACGGAAATTTAGATGAGCCTTAAGCGAACTTTAAAGAAGCTTTAAGGGCGATTTAACCCAGCTTTCATTGAGCTTTAAAGAAGTTTTAAGTGCGTTATAAATCAGCTATCAGTGCGATTTAAATCAGCCTTCAGTGAGCTTTAAAGAAGCTTTCAGTGAGATTAACACCATGTTTCAATATGCTTAAGAAGCCTTTTGGCTTAGTGTTGAAAAAC